AGTAGTAGTAGTAGTAGTAGTAGTAGTAGTAGTAGTAGTAGTAGTAGTAGTGGTCGTGTTGGTAATAGTAGTAGTAGTAGTAGTAGTAGTAGTAGTAGTAGTAGTAGTGGCAGTAGTATTAGACGTAGTAGTATTAGAAGTAGCAGTAATCGCAGGGGTAACCGTAGTAGTAGTAGTAATAGTAATAGTGGGAGTAGTAGTAGTAGTAGTAGTAGTAGTAGTAGTAGTAGTAGTAGTAGTAGTAGTATTAGTCGTAGTGGTAGAAGCAGTAGTACTAACAGTAGTAGTAGTAGTAGTACTTTCGTAGTAATAGTAGTAGTAGTCGTCGTCGTAGTAGTAGTAGTGGTAGCACTAATATTAGCTGTAGTTGTAGTAGTCGTAGTAGTAGTAGTAGTAGTAGTAGTAGTAGTAGTAGTAGTAGCAGTAAGAGCCAGAGTAGTAGTAGTAGTAGTCGTCTTCGTAGTAGTAGCAGTAGTAGTAGTAGTAGTAAAAGCAGTAGTAGTAGTAGTAGTAGTAGTAGTAGTATTAGTAGTATTACTATTAGTAGTAGTAGTCGTAGTAGTAGTAGTAGTAGTAGTAGTAGTAGTACTAGTACTAGTACTAGTACTAGTACTAGTAGTGGTACTTGTAGTAGATGTAGTAGTAGTAGTAGTAGTAGTAGTAGTAGTAGTAGTAGTAGTAGTGGTGGTAGTAGTAGTAGTAGTCGTAGTAGTAGGAGTAGTAGTAGTAGTAGTAGTAGTACTCGTAGTCGTAGTAGCCGTAGTAGTCGTAGTGGTAGTAGTAGTGTTGGCGGTGGTGGTGGTAGTACTAGTCGCACTCGTAGTGGTTGTACTGGTAGTTTTGGAAAACGTGGTGGATGTAGTAGTACGAGGAGAAGTAGTAGTAGTACTAGTAGTAGTAGTAGCAGTCGTAGTAGTAGTAGTAGTAGTTAAAGTAGTCAAAGGTAATATTCGTAGTACTAAGTACCAGTACCTAAGTACTAGTAACTAGTACTAGTACTAGTATAGTACTAGTACTAGTGTAGTGGCAGTAGTAAGCCGTAGTCGTAGTAGTCGCGTATTAGTAGTAGTTTGTTGTAGTAGTAGTAATAGTAGTGATAGTAGTAGTAGGCAGTAGTGGTAGTAAGTAAGTAAGTTAGTAGTAGAGTAAGTAGCAGTCAGTAAAGTTAGTAAGTAATAGTATTAGTAGTAAGTAAGTCGTACGGGGTAATCATCAGTACGGTAGTGGTAGGTAGTTGGTATTGTAGTACGGGGATAGTCTAGTAGTATTTTTTGTACTAGTAGTATCATAGCAGTAGTATAGTCAGTAGTAGTAGTGGTGTAGTAGTAGTAGTAGTAAGTACAGTAGCAGTAGCAGCATTAAGGTAAGTAGTATAGTAGTAGTAGTAGTAGGTTTGTTGTTGTCGTAGTAGTATAGTAGTAGATATTAGTATAAGTAGTGGTAGTAGCAGTAGCAGTCAGTAGAATAATAGTAGTAAGTCGGCGTAGTATAGTAATTAGTAGTAGTAAGTAGTAGTAGTATAGTATAGTGGTGTAGTGGTAATTAGTCGTAGTAGTAGTAGTAGTAGTGTAGCAGTAGTAGTAGTAGTAGTAGTAGTAGTAGTAGTAGTAGTAGTAGTAGTAGTAGTAGTAGTAGTAGTAGTAGTAGTATCAGTAGCAGATAGTAGTAGTAGTAGTAGTAGTAGTAGTAGTAGTAGTAGTAGTAGTAGTAGTAGTAGTAGTAGTAGTAGTAAGTAGTAGTAAGTAGTAGTAAGTAGTAGTAAGTAGTAGTAAGTAGTAGTAAGTAGTAGTAGTAGTAGTAGTAGTAGTAGTAGTAGTAGTAGTAGTAGTAGTAGTAGTAGTAGTAGTAGTAGTAGTAGTAGTAGTAGTCAGTAGTAGTAGTCAGAAGTAGTAGTAGTAGTAGTAGTAGTAGTAGTAGTAGTAGTAGTAGTAGTAGTAGTAGTACGTAGTAGTAGTAGCAGTAGTAGTAGTAGCAGCAGTAGGAGTAGTAGTAGTAGTAGTAGTAGTAGTAGTAGTAGTAGTAGTAGTCGTAGTCGTAGTAGTAGTAAGTAGTAGTAGTAGTAGTAGTAGTAGTAGTAATAGTAGTAGTAGTAGTAGTAGTAGTAGTAGTAGTGAAGGTAGTAGTAGCAGTAGTAGTAGTAGCAGTAGCTGTAGTAGTAGTAGTAGTAGTAGTAGTAGTAGTAGTGGTAGTAGTAGTACTACTACTACTACTACTACTACTACTACTACTAGTAGTAGTAGTAGTAGTAGTAGTAGTAGTGCGCCTGCAGTGGTCGTAGTCCCACCCTACAGCAGGCACGTCACATAATAATCGGCCTGCCGGAAGGTGCCCCGCAGAAATTTCGGATCCTTTGGTTGGTCCCAAGGAGTTAGAAAAAGCCATGGGAACCTGCGGACACTGAGCACTCGTCTTTGGAGAGAAACATTCCTTAACCGCGGCTTTGCGGGCCGGGCCCGTGGGCCCGCGATGATTGGGCGATTTTGTCGCGGGTTCCCCGCGCGGAACGTGTCCGTGCGGCCTCGTATCAGCGGGAATGCGCCCCCGAATTCAGACCGCGAGGGCGCGGATACTGACATGGTCGCCGCTCGTGAGATCGACGATCGATGTGCCCCAGGATTTCTAGTAGCGATGTGTTCTTTTTCTCGAGACAGCTAGGCACTTATGACTTGCCCCATCTCGAGCCCAGCACTCGTACTTTTCACGCACTGGCGGACATCATATCTCACGAAGTGAGCCTCCATGCTGCCCTATAGCGCAAGCAAAAATATTATTTCTTACCGTACGGTGGGGGTGTTGGTCAAGGAATGTGCCCACGAGGCTCCAGACCCTGGAGGACGCCTGATCTGATGAGGGCGGCCGTGATATCCATGGCCAAGCCCCGATTGGAGTCCCACCGGCCTCCAGACCCTGGATTCCTCATCCAAGGGCTCCTTCTCCAATGCCCCCGCCGTTGCGTGTCTCCAGGGACCCGCTGCCCCCTCGAGAGGGGGGAGGCCCGGGCAGCGAGTGGCACGGCGGCGGGCCGACGGCCGCCGCGGCCGCCGCGGCCGGCCCGCGCAGGAGCTCCGCTGGCGCGGCCAGCCCCCCGGCGTGCGCCTCAACGCGCTGCCGGAGCTGCGGCGGCGGCTGGAGGATCGGTAGAGGAACCAAAAGTTCGGGGGTGGACAGAACCCCCAACAGTGACACGTCGATTAGTGAATTGTCCGTTTTCGGTTCCCGAGAGGGCGCCGTGGCCGTTATTTCCCAGGCTTGCGCCCGCCAGGTTTGGGCCTCAGGTCGCTTTCACTAAACCACGTTTTGCTAAAAGGGCTTCTGTCCATCCCCGAGAAGTGTCACAAACAAAAAACTCGGAGGTCCGCGCTGCGCGCGCCAGGGAGGGGGGGTCCAGCGCGGATCCGAGAAATCCGCGTGGACCTCAGAGTTTTTATGTTCACGTGACTTTTGTTCCCCTAAGCGGGCGGGCCGCCAATTTGGGCATCAAAATCGGAAGCCCCCACATGGGGTGGCGACCGCACCGTGCGGCGAGTCGGCGGGGACTGGGAGGCACCGCGCGGTGCGGGGAGTCGGGTCGTTCTCCGAGGACGTCTCGGGTGATAGGGGCCTTTAGGGTCCCAAGACCGTGCGGTGACGGACCGTGGGGGGAGGTCTTGGGGGATGTCGAGGTCACCGCACGGTCCGTCACCGCATCGTTTCGTGACTCCAAAGGATCGGGCGGGCCGCCGGCAGGGGACCACCAGAATACATGATCACATCTTCTGGGAGGTCCGCGCAGGGTTCTTGGGTTACGTCGGGCCTGGCCCTCTACAGGAGGAATATTCAACAATTGTCAAAAACTAGCTTGGCGAAGGACCCGACCATGTGCAGCTGTGAGTACCGCAATTATGAATATCATCTTCGCCCGCGCTCCCTATGTGGCCACGGCTTCCCGCCGGAGCCCGACATGCTCAGGAACACGGTCGTGGCCGTCTTCGCGGGCGCCAGCGACGACAAGGACGGCGTCTTTCTGACCGAGGAGCAGAAGCAGGAGAGGGCTTTGAGAGCCATGAGGGAGGAGGTGTCGGTGCGCGTCGAGAAGGTGGAGTACGACGCCCAGGCGCGGTTGTTGGAGCAGCACAACTATGGGGCCACGATCCTCGTGAGGGGTGTGCCGAAATGGCCCCGGGCCGCCATGGGAACCCTGCCACTGGGGGCCTTCGGTGGTGCTACTGGCACCTTCGGTGGAGCTCCTACGGGGCCGCGAAACTTGTGAGGGGTGTGCCGAAATGGCCCGGGGCCGCCATGCGCACTTTGCTACTGACGCCATCGGTGGAGCCCCTACGGGGCCATTATCCTCGTGAGGGGTGTGCCGGAATGGCCCGAGGCCGCCATGCGCACTTTGCCACCGGCGCCTTCGGTGGAGCTCCGATGGGGCCACGATCCTCGTGAGGGTTGTGCCGAAATGGCCCGAGGCCGCCGTGCGCACTTTGCCACTGGCGCCTTCGGTGGAGCTCCTATGGGGCCACGATCCTCGTGATGGGGTATGCCGAAATGGCCCGGGGCCGCCACGCGCACTTTGCTACTAGCGCCTTCGGTGGAGCTCCAATGGGGCCGCGAAGCTCGTGAGGGGTGTGCCGACATGGCCCGAGGCCGCCGCGCGCACTTTGCTACTGGCGCCATCGGTGGAGCTCCCATGGGGCCACGATCCTCATGAGGGGTGTGCCGAAATGGCCCGAGGCCGCCATGCGCACTTTGCTACTGGCGCTTTTCGATGGAGCTCCGTTGGGGCCACGATCCTCGTGAGGGGTGTGCCGAAATGGGCCGAGGCCGCCATGCGCACTTTGCTACTGGCGCCTTCGGTTGAGTTCCGGTGGGGGCAAGGTTTTCGTGAAGGGGTTTGCCGAAATTGTCCGAAGCCGCCATGCGCACTTTGCTACTGGCGCCTTCGGTGGAGCTCCTATGGGGCCACGATCCTCGTGAGGAGTGTGCCGAAATGGCCCGAGGCCGCCGTGCGCACCTTGCTACTGGCGCCTTCGGTGGAGCTCCAATGGGGCCACGGTCCTTGTGAGGGATGATGATGAGGATGATGATGGCGATGATGCGAGGAGGAGGGAGGGGGCAGCGGGGGGAGGAAGGAACGCGGGGCGCTGTCTCTTCAAAACGAGGACCCAACACCACAGGATGGTTGGGAAATCATCAGGGTGTAATGTTTATAGCATTATTGTTTTTATTTGGGCATTTTTTGAATATTGATAATTTTCCGTCCAAGATCCGCTTAGAGGGGGGGCATGTCCGACATCACTTTTGGGTCGGAGCGCGGATTGGGCTGGATTGGATCGAAGAAGCAATGACGCGACCCAGCCTCTGGCTGGGTCGCGTCCTTTTCATGATGGCCCCGCCAGGCCAACCCGAGTCCCACGAAACCGAGTCGTACGTCCCCCCCGATACTGACACAGAGAAGGCGTGGCTTCACCGAGGTCCCATCTGTGCACTAGAACGGGTAATTCTGAGCATTCTGGTGCGATGCACCTGCCAGAAAGGACCCCGTATCCCCAATGCTTGCGACCCTCCTATATTTAGGTCCCCGTCCAAAGGGTCAGGGGTTTATTTTTGGCTACTCACCGGCAGGGGGACAAACAACGATATAATCACATCAATTCGGAGGTCCGCACAGAGTTTTTGGGTCGGAGCGCGGATTGGGTCGGATCGGATCGAAGACACAACGGCACAGGCACACCAACTCGGAGGTCCCCTCCTCACCCCCTGGCGCGCGAAGCGCGCCAACTGCGGCGCCGCAGGCGCCGCCAGCAAAACCCCAGGACCGATCCATGGACTACGCTATGTCTTTGTTTTTTCTTGGCAGATCCCCCGACCTCTTGGCAGTCGGCTCACGGTAGGGTTGCGTCGTGTCGACGCGGCGCCGACGCCAACGCGGGCGTTCAAGTCCCAGGTAATTTCTCGCCCCAGAATATCAGGTCGTTCGGAGAAGAGAGACACGGGGACGCACGCCCAGAGCTGCGGTGGCGGCTGGACGATCGGGCGGGTCGCAGATCCGTCATGGGCTCAACGACGCCTGCTGTCCTTCGACTGGCGCTAGAACAGTTTTCATTTGCTGCAATGTTCTAGGAGATCTGTTGGATATACTTGGATTTACCTGGGTCGACTCAGATTTACATGGGTTTACGCTGCGTATTGTGCATCTGCCTTGGTTTATCCGATTCGATCTCCACAAGGCGGCTGGCGAAACGTTGTCAAGCCCCAGGACAGGCCCCGACGTCTTGTGGCGGTCTGCTTACGGCAGGTTTGCGCCGTGCCGACGCGCCGACGACGCCATCGCGGGCGTTCGAGGTGGAGCGCAGCCGGTGGCACGGCGTCGGCGAGGGAGAGTGCGCCGACCGTGGCAGGTTGGCGGATGCGTGCGGCGTCAGGGGCCAACGCCGAGGGCGTCACGACGCGAGCTTGCCGCAGGCCAATCAAGGGTGGTTCTCTGATGGGATAGTTTTCCACCACCACCACCATAACTTGGATGGGGGGAAGGAGGAGGAGGACGAGGAGGACGAGGAGGAGGAGGAGGGGGAGGAGGAGGAGGAGGGGGAGGAGGAGGAGGGGGAGGAGGAGGAGGAAGAGGAAGAGGATCTCCAACTTATGGTGGTGCTGGTGGAAAACAGGCCCATCATTCTCCTCCTCGGGCATCTGGCGCCTCGGAGCCGGTTTGTCGGTTCTTCGCCTCCTCCAGGAACCAGGCTCGCCTCGGGCCTCGGGGCCGTCAGCCAATCGGGGCTCGGGACGAGAAGCTGGCCCTGCCTGCTTTGACCGTCGGGTGGGTGTAAGTGCGGTAAGAGCGTTGTATATCAGATGAAATCGTTTCAACGAAGATGTATGTAGGTTCATGCTTGTTGATCTCACATATTCAATATACATAAAATTTCGAAATTACCATTCATCTACTTAACCTTTGGTTATATATGTAGTTTCAACAACATACCATCCATACTACTCACAAACCCATCCATATTATTAACTGAGCTATCGAGTACCACTGCCAATATATAGCGATACATACACCTCAACATTTCCAACTTAGCAGCTAAGTCAGCTAAGTCGATGTGGGCTGTCTGATTCGGTTAACATGAAATTTGCATAACTTTCTATGTTTTTCATGTTTGTTTCTTGATATTGCTATGTTTCTTTGAAAAAACAACAAAAACAACGTTTTAACAACTACAACACGGCAGTTGTTCAGGACAAGGCGCCGCAGGTCGACGCGCCGAGCCGCCCTCAGGACGCCTGCGGGGCGCGGAGGGGGGGGGGAGAGGGAGAGGGGGGGATCACCTATTCTTCAAACTGCCTCCCCTCGGCGGCCATCACCGCCTCCCCTCTCCTCGCCTCGCTGTCGGCGGCCAGCCCGCCCCCACTCCCTCCTGCCGCCTTCCCTCCCCGAACCCGCCTTCCTTCTTCGGCGGCATATCCGCCCCTCCCCCCTGCACCTCTCTACCGAAGGGCGGCATATCCGCCAGCGGCATATCCGCTCTCGCATGCGCGCGTTTATGTTATTTTTATTTCACGCGGCGGCGAGCACGTAGCCATCGTCCTGTAGTCGCCGATAAGCCGCCCAGGCTGGCGGGATCAGTTCGGCGGGCATCGCGGCGACGTCGCCGCGCGGCCGCCACAGGGACGCGCCTGGGCATGGCGCGCGCACCCATTCCAGGGTCTCCGCCAGCAGGTAGCTGGCGGCGCCAGCCTGCGCGCAGCAATGCACGATGTACGTTTCGCCGTCTCCCAGGAGAAAATCCTGAGGGCAGCGGCGCCTCGATTTTTTGGGGGCGCACGCATGTGCACCCCTAAATACAAAGGTTGGTTGCGCCGTCTGTCCTGGCTGCCGTGCATCTGGCCGTCGGTCGACGCCTCTCTGCTGGTCCACCTTTCAGCCCTGCGGAGGGGTTCCTCCTCCTCCTCCTCCTCCTCCTCCTCCTCCTCCTCCTCCTCCTGGCGGCAAGCCGCCTTCGCGGCAAACCGCCTTCCCCTCTCCCCTCCCGTCCTCCTCCACAAAAGGGCAGGCAAGGTTGCGCCCCGAGCGCCCGAACGTACTCTCCAGCTCTGGCGTGCGCCACGCTTTGGCGCGGGGGCGCGGCGCCTCCTTCGCTTCCTCCAGGAAG